GCGGTTACTTTGTAAACAACAAAGTTGGAATAATTTTACACCAAAGAATGTCGAGCTTTCAAAGTTAACTTGATGTAAATATTTTGTATTGACTATATCAGAAACGTTATCAAGTCACGAGGTGTTCAGCTGACCACGAGGTCCACAAATGACTATATATTTTGTTTTTTTTTTTTTTTCGCCGAGCATGTGGTGTTCTGCAACTGGCTAGTGTGTGGCTATTAAAAATTTTTCTTTGCATTGATCAAGATCTAAGATACACTTGTGAACTCACAGGTCATCATCTGAAAATGTTAATTAACGTCGTCAAAAGCTGTCCATTTTTGGAGGTTGGAGAACTCAAATTTGGCCGGCATATGTCCGTTGAAGGGCCTCGACAATTGTTTTGTCTTCGTATCGGATTCGATCGCAGCCATGGTATCTAAAAGTCAAAACACGTTACTATCATCAAACGAGGACTTTGGTAATTTCCTCATTAGCATTATCAACTTGACAAGGTGCAGAACAAAATGGGAAAATTGAAAACATCTGCTCGATCGCTGAACCCATGATCGATGTCGCGACTTCACTTCACCCAATGTCAGTTTCATTTCATTCTCATCGGGAGAATTTCAGGTTTACATAGACTTGTCTTTCTCTCATTGTCAGAATTACCAAAATGCTCCTACTTTTGCACAGGGTAAACTGGACTACCCGTGCGCTGCTAACAAACCTAGGCTCGCTGTTAAATGGCAGTGGTCAGGCGTGAAAACCACAATGCTAGCTGGAACTCCTACTGAGGAAGAAGTGTTTCCGCAGTCGGCATGGCTAAAATGAAAACAAGCTACAAATTGTCTGCAATTCTTGTATAAAGATACGCTTCCTGTATTGTTCATTTTGAAAACATTTCATGAAGTTTGAAGTATCATTTAGTGGCAACTATCTAACCCTTGTCGCGCTCTCCAAAACGCGATCACATCTCATCTCACGTCTCAAAGGGTGTGAGCTTGTCACGTGAGATTACAAATGGAAGAGAACTCTGCACTTTTTTTTATCATGCAACATCTTGGCGAATCAGTGTCGAATCTCGCCTACCCGAGCTCGCAAAAAAACTGCTAAGTGATGGACTAACAGATGTTTAGAGTACGTTATTATCCTAAAATGAATTCCATTACTTTCTCATGCTTTATTTTTCGTTGGGAATAGCGGACCACCGTGTTTGCAATTGTTAACATTGTGTTTCTGGAATATGGCAGATGAATTATAGACTGGCGCGCTGCAACCGGAAAGTCTGCCTCTTGTCAAAATTAATGATCATCAATTCAAGCCAAGAATTTTTTTCCTGATAACTGTTCCAGATAACGATCAGAACGTCAAGCTAATCTCTGTAATAGAAAGCCATAATTGGACGCGAAAGGAAATCTAGAGTGATAGATAATGTTGTGCGCGATCTGGGGCAAGTTGGTTTTTCTAGAAGTTTCCATCACTGTTTACCCAATCTGCACTGTGAACCAATAGTAGTGGTGCACTTCCTCTGCGAAGAGGGTACCATCGTTCATTCTTTAACAGTCACACGTGGTGTGGACAAGAGCCAAACATTTTGACAATCAAATTTGTGTTTGATTACTTTAACGCTTTGCCGTACTGAGCTTTTTTCCGGTCTAAGCGAGTTGAAAGCGAGCTAATTTCATGTTTGGTTGGTAATTTAGTTTTTGTTATGGCGGACAAGTGAATTCTTACACGCGAGTGGTATACGTTACTGGGCAGACGATTCTATTAAGGTACGTGACGTTATCATCGCCTTCTCAAGTTGTTCATTCTACTTAAAAAAAATTCTAAAGCTGCAAAGCAGTTAACAAATTATGTGGCACTTATATTTTGCTCTGACCTTAACAAAGTCCATTTAGATTATCTACTAAAAAAAGGGCTCCACCGACTCAAGCAGATTTATAAGGTATTTAAGGGGCGTCAACAGCTAGATTCCTACAGGGGCTATCAAAATACCTTATCTCCGTTTGTAAATACACTTTACTCATGGAAAGCGTGCGCCATGCTAATTCTGTCCTTTTGGTAAAAATGTGAGTATACTTAAGATTATTGCATTGATAGACCTTTCATTACAAAGCTCGGTCAACTGTTTTATAAACATTTGCAGGTATTTCTGACACACAATTCCGCGGGGGATTGTCCGTTTTGATTGTGTAATTTTAAGGGGGGTGGGTTGAATTGGATCTCGTTTGGTGTATCGTCGACTTTGAATCGCGGTCAAAGTCTTCATTGAACATTAATTTCATTTCCTTCCGAGATGTAAGGACGATTTATTCATTTACGTAAGTATTTTTTTGTCGTATCATTTAAACTTGAAATGTCAGCTGAGGTTTTTTAAATTGGCATTGCGTGTTCTCTGTATCCATTTCTCGGGCAGATTTTGACAAATCGCTTTGGGACTTAAGCGTTTGCGAAACGAAAACAAATGAAACTAAAATATCTATGCCAAATTGATTTTGTTTCGCTAAAAACAAATAAACAAACGAACTAAATTAGTCCATCGATTATTTGACGATAATAGCTATAACAAACCTCAACGCCAGAACATAATTTAGTCCTGAAAAAGTCAATTGAAATTTAGTCTTTTAAAAATTTTGACCAATTAGTATTATATCTATCCTTGCGATGCTTAGATGTTTATAGTAAAGTATGCCATAATTATCGGCCAGGCATTAAGTTAGAGCGGCAAAATGAAGCCTAACAGGCACGACTTAACCTCAACTTTTCTTTATAACGAAAGGCATGCACGGAGCGTGCTGTTCAGATAACATACCTTTCCCCCCCCTCCGGGAAATCGGGGAACGCAAGGGTGTATCTCTTAACACCCCGGGCTTGTCACAAATGGCCAATTTATAGGCGCGTGTAACATCACTGGGTGGTCCAAAGCGCCATGGTCTGTTTTTAAAATCGTGCGCCACTGGTGATGTCTCTGGCCAATGAAAATTCGAAGTGGCTGAAATCTCACTGCAAACTGTGATGTTGTGTTTGTTTTGATCGGTATCCCTAATTGCTTGCTTACCACTGGATTATTTGGATTGCAAAAATATTTGTTTTGGAAGTTCATCCTTGCGAGTTAGAGGCTCGTTTTGCGGTATTCTTTAAAGAGCCGGAAACGAAGAGCCGTACGGGAAAACCCGAGTCGCAGGGTCACGACTGTTTGTATTGTTCTCATAGCAAAACAACCAATCGATTGAAGCTGCTTATCTCGGTTTACCAGCGATTTTTAAATACACTGCCTGGGTGCGTAGCTTGTGCTTTATGTAGGAAAATTTTTCAGCAAGTGCGCAGGCGTTTTGTCAGTAATTTCTCACAATTCGTGATGTGCGGGTGGTCGCAATTGCGCCGAGAAAACGTCAAACCCATGATCAAAGTCTGTCGCGGAACTAGTTACAGTTACAAGACGGAAAATCCAAAAACGCACACGAGCCGCTCGACTGGAGGCATGGGAGAAAGAGCTATACAGAATGCCACGTAGGGTCATAGGCTTGTGGATATGTCACTCAGGTACCGTTCCCAGAATAGCTACGTGGATAATTGGAAAGTTATTCGCTGACGTACGCATAACATCGCTTCGATGCGTTTCACCTCGTCAACTAAGTCGATTTCTATCTTGTTCGTGTAGGCCGACAAAAGTTCGGTGTAAGCATATTAAGTTTGTAGAAACTCAGCACTATCGAATCGGCGCCGTTTTGCAACCTATAACTTTAATTTGTGGTCGCAGATTTGGCGATCAAAAGATTAGCTTGGAACTCTAAACAGCCTCAGGTCGACCTCGACATATATTGCGGCTCGCAAACTGCTAGCGCAGAAACCACCGACATTTTTGTAGCATTAAATCCGAGAGTTCACGAAATGCGCGGACGTCAGCTGACGCTGAGAGGCTAGTCAGCTTAGATTTCGGATGAATTTCACATGACATCTGTAATCCCGTCATTAAGCGAAAAAAACTCTTTTTACCAAACGATACTGAAGAACCGGATTATCCACTGGAAAAGCCACCTTGACTACTAATTAGCTAAAACGGAATTTAACTTGTATCCAGTTATTAAAAAGAACGTAAACAAATCGCGAGGGTGAGAAATTTTCTTCTTCGCGCTTCAGTTGCCTCATCAGCAAATTTTCTCACGGCAGTAGCGTCTAGAAATGATAATCAGTATTTTATTGTTCGCGGGGACTCCCCCACCCATACATTACTCGATCATTGTGACGAATATATCAGTCTATCATTATACGGTTGCATCACAGGTTAGACTTGTCCCGTGGATCATTTTATCTCAAATCAATGACTGAAGCACTTAGTTCAATGAACGACACATGGACTTCGTCTCTTCGCTCTGTTTTGCCTCTGGGGATTTGTTTTTGACTTTGCACAAACTGTGCTATTTTATCCACTGTAGTATTTGGTGAGTTGTGAAGGGTCTATGTATTAAGTGATACGCGTATTGTGCTCTCAGAAATTTTGTTATCTTTAATACCGATACACTACCTTATCAGTTCGCACTTGCACGTTCGTCTTGGAAGAGACAGTGCCCTTTAGAAATGACAAGTGATTTAATTCGATGGCTTTTTAGCCTTGAAGGGTTACGTATTTCCGAGTGGAATCTGTTTAGAAAGAAGCTCTTGTCGTAGGCCATTGTCAGCGTGTTTCCTGTGCAGGTTAAGTTAAGAAATAACAAAAAATCAGCGATAGTATTACCGGATTGGTGCGATAATCGAAAGTTTTAACAACACATAACATCGAGATATCGACTACCACGGTCAGATTTCAATGGATTTCGTTTTTACTGAGTAGAATCTTGGTTCCAGTAAAGACATAGTTTTTCCGTGGTACGCTTTAGTGCCTCGACAAGCCCCTACATGTCCGATTGTGATAACAGTAGAGTTCGCGCGGACCATCTGTGAGCCCACGGGTTGAATTTCTACGTAATAATCATCAGCTTTTGATTTATTTAATGAAACCATTGTCTTCAGTTACAAACTACGTCTCGGCGCATTGAAAGCACTTTAAAGGAAGTCCCTGAAGAATTAGTTGCTACTTTCGAAGTTAATATGCTGAGCCGCAGGGATTGTTTTTGACAACACGTTGTATACCTTTGGAATCAAGCAGCCGTGAAAAATACGCAAGCACAAACACGGTTGCGTTACGTTCTTTGCTGTCGACCGGCCCGCAACGAGTGCCCCAAAATCGATTGAATGAAATATGCGATCATGTAAAAGATTCCCTTCCGTTTTGGTAGTTAAATGATAACAATTGACAATTGGCCCGTTAGGGAAACTCATATTTACGTAACAAGAAATTAATCTCGATTATTTTTATCCCCATGGTCTTTCAGGCTGAGCCGTGAGAAAACCGCAACAGGAGGATCACACCAACCGTTCGAGTGGGTTTTAGCACACTCTGTCCTGATTACACTTTAATGAGTTGGGCACGAAACTCATGCATATGAGAGACTTCACTCGGCATTCACTGGCCGCATTTGTGAAAGGAATTCAGCGCCCCAACCTCGGAGTTCTTGTGATTTTACTGTTGGCTAGCGTACTGCCTGAAGTAAGTACATTGACAATATATTGTGAGCGCTTTCAATCGCCCACTACATCGCTAAGTATTTGTGTTCAATTGTTGCCCTCGTTCCGATCGAGTTCACAATAATAGCGGTTTTGTTGGGGTAAAGATGTAATTTTAAATGACGATTTTGACTTTATCGTGGTCAATCCCGGATTGTTTGGATGAATTAATGAGCCCATCAGGAAATCAATAGATCACAAACTACAAGTTATCTTTCTCGCCTATAAGCAATTCAGTCATTTTTCGAGCAAGATTTTTATCTGTCTCGAGCTGTAAAAACACAGACTAAAATTTCCTTTGCGATCTTCCTCGGGTCGAATGTAAAGCAACCCTTGAAGAACTTTCAACGAACTTCACGCAGTGATTTCTCTTCAAAAGTACTCCACCGAATATGTGGAATACCGGATCACGCGGTGTCGGCGGTCGAGCGCGCGTGGCGTACACGCAGTGCTCCCATTTGGCGGATATGTCGTTTGAATTTGGAATTTCCTGTTTTCGAAGTTAAGATTTTATTGAAATAAAACCCCACGTCACCCAGCCAGACGAACAAATAAACAGAATAGCGAAAATGAACTTGGTTGCATTGGAAATTCTATGCAGGATCGAAAGTGATCACAAAAAAAGTTTTCTGTACGTTGTCAATGAACACGTCTAATATGACAAGCTTACCACTCATTATTGACTTACTTCGTAGGTTTGGAAAAAAAATTCCTTTTAGTGTAAAAGCTTTCTGTTTTTGTTTTCTTTTGATGGATGTTTTTGTTTTCTCCTAAGGTGGTTGTGTGTTTCGATCAACACTTATTTCCTTAGAAGCAGAAAGACGATAAAATTTTTTGCATGATGAAACTAGCCCGAAACGTTTGTTTAATAGCCATCTTGACTTGGCGATGAATCGCTAACAGATCGAAACCTTATGCGCCGCCTGGCGCTTGTAGATCCGATTTAGGATCGTGAAAATTATAAGGGATAATGTTTGTTATTTTTTTGACAGATTGTGATTTGCAATTCAAATTTAACGGTAGAAATGATAAGTCTTGGAAACCCAAAAGAAATCCACATATTTTTTCAGCAAATTTTTAATGTCTTTCATGTTGGCTTAATGACTTAGCCCTACTTGACCTCGATCATGTCCTCTGGAAGGTCTAATCTGGCGAAAATGTTAGCATACCCTCACCAACTTTATCTGAAAAAAGAAAAAACAGTGGCCCAGGCAGCTTGCTAGCTTTATTTCTTGCTTATTCTCACATAATTTTTCATCTCTACAGACTCGGTCCACGGGAATGTTCGAAGTCCGTTTCTTGGACTACACGAATCCCGGAAACAGAAACGGGCAGAAGACTTGTTGTATTGGTGAAGAGACGGGAGGGAGCTGTTCTTCTCCTTGCAGCACCTTCTTTAAAGTGTGTCTCCGGCCCCTTACTCACACTGGGCCCTCGTGTCCGTTTGGGCAGAAGACTTCGGATGTATTGGGAAATGGTTCATTTGTAATCCCGTCAAACAGTCTGTTGCAGATACCCTGGCCTTCTACACTACAGTCATGGCCTGTAAGTACAAACCTCTTAACACACGTTCTAACTTTACTTTATCTATGTTATGATGTTCGGGTTAAAAATATATCCTTCGCGCATGCTGCTTTACTTTCCAACACCCATCCGGATCGAGATTACGGCAGTGAGTTAATGAGATGTTTATCTGTGGAGTCATGGCAGAGAGCTCATTGTCCTTTGCCCGTTCCCACCATTTAGTGCAACACAATATATTTAGTCCAATTTCCGTTCCAAAAAAAATGAAAAGATTGAAGGGTTTCGATCTGAAGTGTGGGAAATTTCGGTTTCAATGGCTCACGCTATTTTTAAATAGTATGAAAACTAGCCTGAGGTCAATTCTTTGTTGTTAATTTTTTTTTTGTTTTGTTTCATGAGCGATTCAGTGCGACTCTCTGATTGTTTAATGCTAGTTTAGAAAGTAAAAATGAAAAATTTGCGCATTCACGAACCGAGATGTGTGCATGTTGTTTTAGTGCTATATATGGGTTGTTGTCACAATAGAGCCAGGGCTGCGACAATGAACGAGAAGGGGCGATGAAAAACACTGATTGCGACTAGCGTCTAGTTAAGACCACCGGTGCAGTCTGATTTGCATGGCTTCTCTTTCATTACTGTGAAACAAATCAGATTACAGTTCTTAACAATTATGTACAATTCCGATTTGGAAAAATAACGGAAGGATGCTGGATTTGTTTTATAGACAAAGAAACGGAAATGATGTGAATAATAATAAAAAAAAAGATTCGAATGAACTCGTTGCATGGGGCTCTCGAGTATCAATAGGTCGTACATGGTTGCATGAAATAGGATCGGGTTCCTCTACAACGATATCTTTAACTTTTAGCTTGATATACGGTCATCTGCTTTTTAGCACGAGTTACGTCTTTCGGGAGAAAAATAATGTACAAGTTTCGTTACTACGCAGCGACTCGTCACTTGTACCAATATAATTTGGGCTATTTTTATTTTTTTCCAATATAGTTAAATGTTGGGTCATTTCGTTGTCTGATCTGGATAGATCGTTGTTGATTTGGCGGAGGAAATATGACTAACAAACCTAATCATATTGCTTGTGGATCGAGTGTGGACGATCGCAGCGTTCTTGATCAGAGTTGCCTTTCGGCTCACTCTGCTATCATAAGTAATCTTTAGTAGTAACTTAAACTCGTGTGGTGATACTTTAAGCTCCCAGCAGCATTGTGATGGTAGTTGTTTCATTGCTAATTGCGCGGGCACGTGCCATAACTCTACTGTTAAGCCCTTTAAAAGCTTCTTACACAACCGACTTCTAAAGCTTGTTATCAAAAACGACAGGATTTGATCGCCTTAACTGCTACCAATCCCTGCGGGATGTCACGCGTGCGCCTCGCACGCTTCATGCCTTTTCGCGCGCTTGATGTTTTTTTCGCGCGCATTATGGATAAGAATTATTCAGACATCTTTCTTGAAGATAAAATTCATCATTTTTCCTTTTTCCGTCAACAGGGGTCATTCTCTTTACTCGTGGAGGCAAGACACCGTCAAGGTAAGGATACTGTCTTTGTCTCTTCGATCTCGATAGTCATTTAAGAACGCATGTCGACGCCTTCGCTGAATTTTCGAGTTTCAGTATTAAACAGTTGTGGTATGCACGCACGTCGCACAGTACTGCTAATGATCTGCGCTTGTAGAGCTGATGGAGAGTGCGATAACGTATATAAAAACGGTGTTTTGATGATGACAAGGATTAAAATAAATTTGCGTCCCACAATAAAGGGTCATAGCGGCACGCGAGAGGTTATCTCTAGGATTCAGATTTTATGACTAGTGTAATTATTATGGATCTCGCGCTTCTCCTCCAAAATCATTCCGCACGTCAAATAAACCGCCTTGTCCATTGCTGGAATGCAATTTATTTTAAAAGATGTACAGATAAATACGTTAAAATGTGGGTCTTAGAATTGCCCCCCCCCCCCCAAAAAAAAAAAATGTGTTCAAATATTACTCTCCGGTGTAAATTGGTGAGACGTAATGGCTTCCCTTCTACAAGGAATTTACTCTTGGCTAGGCTGACTCTGGTGAAGATGTGCTTGACATCATGCATCTTTAGGATAAAATAACATTTACATTAAGGAAATACCCACAGCGATTATTTGTTTATCTAATTTAGTCCGTGTTGACTTTGCTCGCACGCAAAACACGCGAACTTTTTACCCCCAAGATTGTTCTTGATCAGTATGTAATGGCCTTCCCTCAAAACACCCCTTGTCCTGACGCGAAAAACATTCCTCGATATCGTCTGTCCTAAGCTCTAATCAGCTTACTTGAGTCTGTCTCGATTATCTGCTTTCTATCAAAGGCTTCTTAACTCTTTAAACTCGAATGATCACACCATGTCAGGCCGTGATAACAACGAGGTGATACTGAATCAAAAAAAAGAAGCCTGCGCCTAAGTTAGGATAAGGAACCATGTTAACCTTTGGTTGCTACTAACTAAACGTCATCGCTCTAAAATGCTGTTGGTTTGAGGTGTGAAGTGACTAACAGTAAGACTGCATCGATAAGATTAATCGTCATTATTACCTCAGTTATCTTATCTTGCAACTAAATGTTAAGCTTTAGTTTGGACAAACCTTTTCAAAAGAGTAAATTCATTGTGTTTTCTGTCTCCTTTTCTCCAATAGTGCGTTGACTGAAGTTTAAAAAATAGGGTCACATTCATTCTTCAGATGATAATACTCATCATTGTACAATAAAAATCTGTTTTCTCTGTTTGTGCAAAGTTTTCCGCCCACACATTTGAAAATTCTATTTCTGTCCGTTCTACTTTATTTTATTTCCACGAAAGAAACTACATCCTCTTTTCAGCAAACCTAATTAGGAACCTTCATTCAATCGCCGCAGTCATTGTTGTTTTTAAAGAAATCTTTGTACCATTTTAAGCTTCTCAGCTTTTCTCGTCTTGTCCTCTTTTCGTTGCGTTTCGATGTCGCGAACTATCTCAGTTTCCCGTCTGCGACTAAGGGAGAGACAAATTTAAGAAATGAAAGCTTTTTTTCTGACTGGCAAGAACTTGGCTCTAATTTTGTTGTTTTCTCAAAACGAGACAGTTAAAGGTAAATTCGATAGCCTCAAATGTCGCTTATGCTTATTGCCTATCACAGGAGGGTGTCAAGTGCGAGTCGTTAAGGTTCTCTACTTCTTTGGCGCCGCGAGAACTCTTTAACTCCCTCGTTCAAACGAAGTTAATCCTTGTTTTGACGCTTTTAGTTTATGCCTTGTAATGATTTTCTTCCATAGAAAGGTGTCACGAATGTTAGAAAATTGCCTTTGATGAATCGTTTGACATTTGGAGAATTCCCAATTGTTGATGACGTTTAAGGATTTTAAGCGGTTTGAGGGCAAATTCCTCGGTCACGAAAGCATTTATAACATCGCAATTTTCAAGCTATTGGAAATACTTCTTACTTTTTAATGCAGCCATTGGTAATCAATGCGTATCTCATTGGCTATTCTTGAAGCCGAGTTGGCTTTGTTTCTAGTTTGAAACTGCTTTATGTATCCAATTCTGTCTGACTTGTTTACTGCTAAATTGACTGTGTAAGTTAGCTCGCAACATAAACGTATTGATGGCTTCCCCTCCAAGAGAACCAAGGTTTGCTGTACGAGTAAAAAGAAACTTGAACTGGAAAAAAGTGACACTTTGAAAAGCTGCCTACATTGTACAGAAGTTTCTATCTTCCTCGTAGAGGAAGTACAAATAGATGCGATTGTTTTCACTACATCATGAAACACAGACATGAAGAAAATTTTCGCGATTTGATTGCTGCGAACTCTGATGTTTCTTTGTAGATAGAAAATCGCAGACTGCACCCAGCTGTTTGTGTTTGTATTCCGAATTGGTAAAATCTATAGCAACATGTGTCATGGCCTAGGGATCCTGGTATGAGTTTGTTTATTCAGCTGCAAGACAGACAAACATCACGCCCATTGCTTTGCAAATTGTTTGAACAACTCTGAGGTTTCCAATGATTCATGAATGTTTGGGTTCCGTATTCTGCTTACATGCTTACTCGGTCGCTATAATTAATCGTTGCAAATGCGATAATATGTTTTAGATTGAATCTGATTTCGCTAATTCTACGAAGGGCAGACGGCTTTGTAAACAGGTACCTTTCCTTAATCCCCAACTGGATTTAGTTGGGTGGTCATTCATTTTAGATTGGAAACGACATCGGTTGATTGAAAACGAAATCAGTGGAATCAGGCCAGAGGCTCTCTCTCACAATTGGAAAATTTCTGCACCATGCCAAACGTGCTTGACAAGTACAAATTGTCTTTTCGACTTCCCGTCCGTAAACTGCCCCTCGATGTTCAAGTCGGTCTGGTGTCTCTCTGGCGGTGCCAGCGGTCGCTCTTCCCCAAGAAATATATCAAAATAAAAAGGATACGTGATACTGCAGTCTAGAATTTCCTCTCCTAATTGAAAACATACGAACAATAAAAGGCGATCCCAGTCTTGTTTTCGCATGATCATCATCCGTTTTCTCACCGACGTGGTAGCACCCTCCTCATCATGGCATAATTGAATCAAGCTCTCTATGTTACGAGTATATGTTATTGCTACCACTCATGACATTGGTTTCCAAGTTTGCTCGAAGCAAACTATGTCTTGATTAAAGAGCTTTTGCCTTTCAATGCGTCTATTTTTTTTTTGTTTTTTTCGTTTAAATGAACCAATCCAGTTTCAAACCAGAATCAACTGTTTCACCCAGTCACGCGCAAGGACAATTCCCAGCGCTTTCCAATCACTGGTAGCGCTGTTCACGGTTATTGGCGTCGATTTCTTATTCGTTAGTTTCTAGTGTGGTGATGCCAGCCACTTTTCCCTTTGAAGTAATCACTGTACCACCTGGTTGGCTGTGAAGTTACACTTTTGTACCTGACATAAATCACTGTGTTACTCTTTTCTTTCAGGTCCAAACTCTTCAGTTTTAATCGAGCAAGGTGTGGTCACAAGGAAGTCCCTGCTACCTGGGCTACAATGGAACAACAAAAGCCATGTAGGAGTAGTGGCAAATGCAACTTTCTCTTACCGCGTGAAATGCCAACAGTATTATTACGGAGACTCCTGCAGAAAACGTTGTGTACCGCGCAATGATGACCTTGGGCACTACTCGTGCGACAGCAATGGGACTAAAGTTTGCAACCCGGGATGGTCTGGACGCTACTGTGATACAGGTAAATGATGCTGCTCTTTTGTTCTCTTTGACCCCTTTAATTGTTTGGTTTTGCCTTCTGTTTTCAATTTAAGTCCAGTGATAAGAGAATAGTGTGTTAAGGAAGGGACTTTTTTTATTTTTGTCGCAAAAACTTGCGATAAAGAAACGTCGTCGTTTACATAGAGATCTTATCTCTATCGAGAGGAAAGGCACTTGGAAAGAAATGGACAGATGACAATGTACAGTAGTCTGTCGTCGTTGAATTACAGATTTGATCTCCTCATTGAGTTAGTCCAAACTAAAAATTTGCTTTTCGCAAAAAAGAAAAACATACAAGTAATGAGGGTCGCGTGAAATCTCAGGAAGATTCAGTTACTAAGGACCTTAAGAAAATCCAGGAGGTCCAACAGATGGCGTAGTTTATATTACGATTTTGTTAAAACTGTTCCTAATGGGAGCTTATCTTTCCCGAGCTAATTTCCCTAGGCTCTCTCCAAAAGCTGTGGAATTTATTTACCTTGCACGCAAGATTTACTGGTTGCCGTTGTCAAGTTTTACAGAATACATATAGCTATGTGTTCTTCTGAATTACAGTATGCCATCGTAAAATGGAGGTCATGTCATGAAGCCAACCCTTGACTTATATAAGATGGAAATTCCTTCTCAAGACCAAACATTGAGTACATCGTGATTTTTAGTTCAATGCTCACATATTAGGACTTAATCCGAAAAGTCGACTTTTCTTTCCTGTTTTGATTATTTTTAATAAGATTGGCACCTTGCTAAAGAAGCAAATGAAATAGAAGTTATCGGCTGTTATTGTCATATACAGCCCTTGGACTGCTGGAAAATTTCCACTTAGATCATAGTAAAATTGTCATTCAGTGTTCTCTAATCCCTCCTTCTTCTACTCGAGTAAGTGGAAGTCATGCGCAGTTTTTGTCAAGGACTCCACATTCCGAACTCCAGAAACTTATGCCCGAAGCTGTCAAAAGCTCTGCATGTTTTGACTGGTTTCTATGACAGAAGGTTTACTTAAGGTTTGATATTACACACGAAAAAAAGTAAAGGCATCCCAATCCAAGCTGCACAATAAAATTATCATGACGTGCAGTCGTTGGCTCGCTTCCGTTTAGTAAATCCGTTAGCATATCGTTTGTTTATGGTTGCACCTCTATACATGAGTATCTTTCATTCTTAAACATGGATTATAGACGAACAAGAAAGGGCTCAACTCCATATGAGCATATAAAGATGATATGATAGCAGTAAATTATACACGATGTGATAGCAGTAAATTATACACGATACATGATTATACATGCTAGCAGTAAATTCTCCAAGGTAGAAATTTCCAGGCCAACGAGTCATCTTCAAAGACCGTGTGAAAAAAAAAATTTCCAAGCTTCGACACTTGTTTTGCAGTTTCAAACTGTGGGAAATTTTTTTTGCCAGACGTGTTCAACTCACCTGAGAACCCTTATTAGTATGCGCTCTCACGGTGTTCAGCCATCTGTATCCTCGCGATCAAGACAAACATTTGTTCGCAACAGACCGTAAAATTAACAATATTTGTGGATTTCTGCCGACTTTGTATTGTTTGAGGTCACCTCTGATGATCACTTTGTGTTGAAGAGAGCACGGCAATCGTTTTGTTTATTGTTGAATTATTACTATTAGTGCGTGCTTGCAGTTTGTCACGCTGGGCCCTGTAAGGGGGCACTCCAGCTGTTTGGCGTCATCTGCCAGGACAGAGCTCCCTTCGTGAAGTATTACCCTTGAACAAAGCCTTTTGAACAACTTCAATTTGTTTAGCGTTTAGCACCAGGGGTCTTTTTTTTTGTCTTCTTTTCTTTCTCCTCGTTGGAACTGGGAGTGCGTGACCAGAGCGAAGGGGGACTTACACGCGAGGACATTGACAACAAACGTAAGGCGGCTCGTGCTCTTGCGTTAGGCGGCTCGTGGTTTTGCGTTAGGTCCACCTCGGGCTATCGTAATCGTGTATGTCTTCGGAAATGGTCGGTCCATTCCGACCTCGAACACGAACTTAAGTTCGGGAGTGAAATCTGCTTAAAACTTGCTTGTGACTTGAAACCGGTCGATGATCGTTTCTGCCCCAAAGAGGCTCCGTAACTCTGTCTTATACCATATTTAGTATGCAGGAACTACACCTCTATTTTATATATTCATATATTTTCTTTTACCTCATTCCTTCCCATGTACGTCCTCTTGGTTTCTCCATCATGTCTAATATTATCGAAACATTTCAAGATTTGCCAGAAAGACCCTCCATTGATATTCATTTTACCCCATTTTGATGAAAATTTCGCTTTGTTTTTGTTTTTTAGCTGTTTGTCCGGGATGCGACCTCACCCACGCTACCTGCCCACATCCTAACAGTTGCAGGTGAGATTTCACTTCCATTCTAAGTTAAACTTTTGTCAAGGTACACTCGGAATTGGCGTATCAATATCAAAGATCCGTATCTTTGAAAAAAAAAAAAAAAAGGGAAAAAAAAAAGATTTCGAACACATTCTATACACAGCATTCCCTATCGGTTTAAATTTTCTCCATTGCTGACCAATTCTTTTAATTTTTGCGTCAACTTTCCTTTCATATTTTTCCTTTTTTTTTTTTTCTAGCGGACTATTAAGTTTTTGTGTTTTGTTTTGTTGTTTTTCTTTATGGCAACTTTCTTCCTTTGCTTAAAAGAGAATCGAAAGAACGCGACTCAACTTCCCTTAGTTTTTACTGCTGGTTGTTGGTGTTGTATGACCTCAATGTTTCTATCAGGGGTAACACTGTTGGAAGAAATTAGATACTTATTACTCTAAGGGTTCAAGAGTTAAAATTCAGAGAAGAGGCTGGTAAAGGGTATTTTCGTGATTCGTGAATGGCCTATTTTTTTCTCGTGAAACGTGAAATGGCCTGTGCTTTTCCCGTGAATCGTGATTTCATTAGTAGCCGTGAACGGTGATTTTCCAAAATAATTCTCCGTGAAATAAGAAAGAAGTATTTAATTCGTCGTGAACCGTGATTTTGGTTGTAGTTTCGAAAGTAATTAACAATGACCGTGAATAGTCCCTTTTACAGTTGTGGGCTTGGTGGCCAAGCCTTTGAACAGGAGTGAGGCTAAGGGTGACCCTGTTGTGATAGAGACCTGTATCTACTTAGCATGATAACAAAGAAATTTGCATTTGAAAACCAGTAACATCTCTATCATAACAAGGTCACCCTTAGCCTCACTCCAGTTCAAAGGCTTGTCCACCAAGCCCACAACTGTAGAAAGGAGTATTGTGAAAGGACCAATTTATTTTGCGTGAAACGTGATCTTGAACCCCCCTTTAATTTACCAACCTCAGAGAAGGGGCCTTTCTTAGAGCCGAACCCTTTTACTCCCGTGGGTGACCAAGGCAGAATTCTTTCTCGCCATATCGTTACAATGTAAAACAGCCAAGAGACGAGAATAAAGAAAAATGTCATTTAGGAGATTACTAGTTGATCCAATACTGAATTCTCCAAATTTATACCATAAGAATTGTATGGCAGACAGTAAGGAGAATGACTATTGAGATCTTGGCAGTGAAAGGGTCATCTCAACTTTCGTGTTCGTGCTCTACCACTCGGGGGCTCCCATTTGAAGGTCATCGAGTCACTACCTTGTATGATAGTCAACCTTTGTGAGCTAACTTTAGTCGTTTCTGTTCAGTTGTCAGATTGGTTGGCAAGGACAAAATTGTACAGAATGTAAAACGCACCCGGGATGCCTTCACGGCACCTGTAATAAACCCTGGGAATGTAATTGTATTAAAGGCTGGGGCGGAAATGACTGCGATCTCGGTAAGTTTGTTTTGCTTCAGTTAGAACCTGCTTTTAATTTCGACTTTTGTCATTTTTCCGTTTTCGATCCTGTTTTAAGCCCCCTCCTTGTATCTTCCTTTCTTTCAGATTTGGAATTATGCGCACGCGAGCAACCTTGCAAGAACGGGGGAATATGTTCAAATAGTGGACTAAACCTTTACCACTGTACTTGCAAGAAGGGCTACACTGGAAAAAAGTGCGAGACAGGTGAGTTCTGTGGATTTAAACAGCGATGAACGGGCATAGTGATACTTCCTTCGCAAAGCTCAAAAGAAGTGTCAAGAAATTGTAGTTAGGAAGAAGAATTTGTTTAACAATTAAGAACTTCTTTAGTTGGTGATCAATTCCTTTCTTCTTGTTACCTTAACATGTGATTTAGCGGTGATACTCCAGGGAGAAATAAGATGTTAATCCCTCATAGGGATCAAAGGGATAAGCAGTGATTTTTATCATCTATGATATATCCTCTGAGTATTAATATATGCTGGTATTGTCTCTTGATTCTCAGAAATAAATGAATGTTCAAATAATCCATGCTACAATGGAGGAACTTGCACGGTAAGGGAACGAGTCATGTGTCCTATAGATTAAACTCATCTTGGTCAGTCTTATTAGAAACAGAAACTACCCCCTTCGTAAAAAAGGCAAGAGAAACGGTGAACTTTCTTAATTTTTTTTTTCCTTTTTAATCTCGCTCGCTACATGTATTCCTTTGACTCCTTCGGTATTCCCGATCCAAGTAGTGTCCTGGACACTTGATACATACGGACCCTGTGATGACCTAGTTCGCATTTTAAGTTCTCTGTTGCCCACTGGTAAAGAGTTGAAGCTTTAGTATGACGGCCAAGGTTTCCTTTCCTGGTTGGGTATTCAGAATTGTTCTCTGTCCTATAATCGTGATAGAAATGAATGACGTAGTCCCTCGTGTGCGCTTAATTTTTAGAGCCACCTGTTACTTATAGCAGACTATAACTTTTTGTTTGTAGGAGATCGGAACTTTAACTTATGTCGTGTGACAATTCTTATTTGGTTCCCTTAGGATCTCATTGGGGACTTCAACTGTTCGTGCCCAGACGGATTCAGCGGGAAGCGGTGCTACCCCACCTGCGGGCCAGGCGCGTGCAAAAATGGTGGCACGTGCGTCAATGGACTCCGTGGCTACTCGTGCGTTTGTTCGTCGGGATATACCGGAAGCGCGTGCGAACAGTCCATAACAACGACTTCGGCGCCTACAACTACTACGAGCCCTGAAGCAAACGTCAAAAATACTCAAAAAACCACTGAGGAAACTACTCTTCAAACTGCGCAAGAAACTACACCCGGATCTGTCTCGGAGACCACTCGAGAAAGTACAAGGAATGCATCCCTTGATGGGACGACGACAGAACCACAAGCAAACAGAACGATAGGTAAGGTATCGAAGTGTTCGTGCAAACCGTAGTTTGACTTCTGTGACGTGTTTTTTTTTTTTTAGGTTTTTATTGGTTCGCCAACTTGGATCATACAAGTTTGTTTGTTTTTCTTTATTTTCGCAATCGATTAAGAAAAATGTTTGTTTTTGCAGGGGAATCCTTTAATTCGGAGTCTGGAAAAGGTGAGGTGGCATTTTGTCATTAATGATACAATGAAATGTCTATCTACTTTCTCTTTTTCCTGTTTTTCGTGGGTTGGTCTATTTTGCGATATCAACAATGCGAAGCATTCATTTCAAACGACGGCAAGTCCAGTTCTTTGATGTGAAAATTTTATTTTATTCTCAGACAGTAAAAAATTATTCACAGAGAGGTTTTACCCTTGGCTTCAAGGGAGGTGAAAGCGAGGATATTTGTAGACGAAAGGGGCATGTCTCAATATTTTTCTACAGAAGTTTCAAACTGATGGTCATTTTTTTCCTCCTAACCTTTCTCTTCAGGTGCCGTAGACCGGACAACCATGATAATTGTGATTGTCGCCTGTGTGCTTGTGTTTCTCGCTTTATTCGTTGGTTGCGTCGCCTGGAGATTCTGGAGAAAGTACAAGCGTGCGTCGCAGGACGCCGCTGGACAAGTTGAGGGAGTGCATTCTCATGCTAATCCAAAACAAATAGACATTGAGGACCCTGATCCTAAACATTGTGCGAGCGCAAGATCAGGCAATCCTGAAATAATTAGAAACTTTGTGGCCTCGAAACGAAACGAAAAGAATACAAATAAAACACAAGACACCATTACAGAGGAAAAGCTTTCAAAAGGAACAGAATCTAAAGAAATTGCCGGGTGAGAGTCTTTCCATGATGCAATCATGGTTACCTTTCTTCATTTTGTGCCAGTTTTCCATTAATAGAACACCACAATGTCGTTCGTGCTCTGGAAGCTTCAGTGATCCATTCATGTGTACTTATCTAGAGATCCACTAATTTTTGCTTCTCTATTTTGGCTTATCGTTGTGCATGTGATAACGGTTTTTCTGGAAGCAAGAGAGGCAGGCATTTAAAGCTAAGCTGATAATTAATCACACCTCACACAAGTGTTAGACTGATTAGAAAACAACATCCTATTATTCGCGACCCAATGGTATGCGCGCGTGGATTTGTTTCTCGCGTGTATTCACAAGTGCAATGCGGAGCTTGCAAAAAGGAGGTTGACAAGATCCTGAAAATAAAGTCGTATCTCTCATTCGCACTCAATTGTTTTTGTTCAAGAAAGGAAACAAAGAGTCAAAATGTAGAATGCGCGGATCTATGGAATGTGAAGATCACACGAGAGAAAGAGACTGCGTGGCAAGACTAAAACTTTAGTGTTCTGTCAGGCCTTGCAAGGCTAGCTAACGAAGAACTAAAGAGCAGCATCTTTGAGTCGTTTTTTGCGCCGTATTTAATTTCTTTATTAGCTCGGCATGATAAAAAGAAAACAAAACAAAACGAAATATAACGAAACACAAAGGAGGTTATAGTAAACCAGGAAAGCACTAGAATGGCTTAAGATGAAGAAGATTAAAACGGACGTGATGTGAAGTACTCGAAAAATTAGAGACAAATTTTTTAGATGACGCACGTTTTTCAAACATGGAATTGTTTTTACACTATCCAGACACTGAGTTAACAATACCACTCGTCAGTTCACGTTGTGCTCAATGCTCATGCGCATTCAGCAAGACAAGGTCATTGATAAAGCTTGCTGTGACCATTTCTTTCAGGGAGTCATTGGAATTATCAGATATAAAGACAACAACGGCGCGATCTTCGACAAGAGAACGTCATACTCTGGACGAGTTATATCTACCTAATCGTTGCTTTGATCAAGGATTTTGGCAGGAAGTGGAGTTGGAAATCTAATTTAAATTATTTAACATAACAGGTAAATTGTTTATGTTGCATGTTAATTACCGCTTGCTGCATGCTTAAGACTCCTTCTACTAATCCTCACTTGCAAGACTCAAGCAGATAAAAGTCGTATTAACCCCATCCTGGTATTACTCTAACATAACCTTTTAAGATTGCACGTGAGAGAGAACAGAACTTCCGGGGTCACCTGAAAGTATTTGAACCAGTGATTTGATAGCAGCTCGGAAAGGTCTACGAGTTCTTTTTTTCTTTTTACATTTTAGGATAGCACTCTCGGCATGGTAACCTGGTGTATCAACGTAGCGATTATACTTTAAAATAAAGAGTTTTTCTTTTTCTTACATCAGTAAAATTAAATTGAACTTTTTCGCGGTAGAATAACAAATTAACTAGAAAAAGAGGCGGCATTTGTTCCTCTGCCGGACATTGAGTCAAAACAACACGTCGGATGAATAAGATTTTATTTCAATTTATTTCTGTTATTGAATATTTGGTTTGAACCTCTACAGTAAACCGGAAATCGCCTGTCAGCTTTTATAAGCAGATTTTATCTCCTCATGCTAATGGTATCGCCTCCTTTTTTTTTTTTTTTTCTTTTCACGGGAGATAGTGTCGGTACTCGTAACTGATATCTGTATCTGTCATAACCATAGGAGGTCAGCGAGGGAAAATTTGGAATTATCGCCCGCAGTCGAGTGTCAAAAATTTATGGAAAAATTTTGCCAAAAAAGCCTTCTAATCGCTATGGATCTACTCTGAACTATCATGGCTGACATAATATTTTATCAATTATGTCATATTTTTAGGCTCACTCGGCCAACAGAGCAAGACACGTTCAAATCACGTGATGTCAGCCTCCAGAAGCAACAGTCACGTGGACAGCAGTCATCAGGTCACGTGATGACTTGAATGATCTACTTAGAGTCATCTGCTTTCAGGAAAAAAACGGTTACAAATGAGATGAGAAAAACTGTGCAGAATAAGTAAACGAGTTGTTACGTATAAAAAGGACTTCAATATCCAGGAGATATGAAACCAGCCAATCAATTCCTCTCAATGGCGAGTGAAGCTCATCCAATTCAGGAAAAAAAATTCGTCATGAAAAGTTACTTTAGTATATATAAAAAAAAAAAAAACAAAAAAACAGAAGAGTTTCTTGTGCTGCGCTCCAGGGCCCTATCCGAAGGGCTATTTTAGGGGGCTGTGCTGGAGGGCCCTATCCATAGAACTAAGCAGACAAGCCTCTATTGCAAGCCACAAGTGGGACCTGGAGATCATAAGAAAGAGCTACGTTAACGAATGAAGGTTGTCTCAATATTGAACAGTGGTAACTACGAAAGAATTTACTTAAAATTTTACATCATTTCAGGCTTGTACATAACTTCTATCAGCGACTCGTGATTTCAGAAAAATAAGAAAGTGTTCGATGACTGGCAGAGAAATGCAGATTGCTTTGGGAGATGCTCTAGCGCATACAATAAGTTACATTTTTACAATCTCATTTTACATTTGTGTTTCGATTTCAGCCCTTTGATTGAGTTCATAGCCACATGCTTTTGAAGTTTGACTCGCGCCATTCAATTCCCATTTCAATAGGACTTTTATAATAGGGGTCCAATCCAATGTGTAAATTTTTCTACCATGTGGACGATAAATAAGGCTTTTATTTATAAACCGCAGGTCACGAAGACTTAGGGAAATAATATCTAGCCAAATTTGTGAGAATTATCAACGTTATGTTATAACTTCGTTAGGAGTTGGAGTAAGGCCCATGGCCAAGTTCAAAACTCTTTGCTTTATTTCGCATGGTATTGGATATTACAAGGTTACTGCATTTTCGTAGGGCCAATAAGAGCAAAGGACGTGCCTGCTTAACACATCACGTGCTTTTCTCACGTGATTTTTCCGAGAGTCTTTTGTCCGATTGTGGCTGGAAATTCTCTGTTCGCTCCTTTGCCATTGAACTGTTGTGACAAAGTAACATTAGAAATCTGGTGAATACAATTTTTTTTAGATACGAAGTAGCCTGTGTTAGGCATTAGGTCAGTGGAAACGAGCGAAGACGTTGGTGCGCAAAAAAACGGTGGAGGTCAGAAAACAAAAAATGTATCCGTTTCCTCGTCGACAACGACCGCTATTTTTCCTTCGCCCGCTCTTCCGCTCGCCTCCATTGATTTCGGGCTCATAACAAGCTTGACACGATGCTGGCTTGGCCTCTTTTCCTTGACTCTGTAACTCCTTGCTGTCGTCGTTGTTAATCTGGCGGGTTTTTTTGTTTTTTTTTGTTTTTTTGTTAATATGTTGTATAAAGTTTTGGGGGCTTCCTTATTTAAATAATCTTCAGCTTGCCCTGAAATAATCAAGTCTTGCCGAAGGAGTCCTCAACTTTTGCATACATTCGATGGAACTAGTGCCGAATGTCTCTGTCCTCCCTACCCTCCCGTCCCTCGAGCTGGTGTTGACATCTCAAACGGTCTTTGGAGACTCAAGTTAGAACCTATTCCACCCGGAAATAACTCGTTCCATCGAATGTACTTTTGCATTTTAAAGATGCAACCAGCATTTGACGTGTAGTTGTCATTTTCCTTTTTAGACCCCGGTTTAATGAACTTACTACTTATTGTAATGTTTTGCATCAAAAACATTTATAGCTCTTGGCTCGTTTTCAAATCTTTCACCCTGCTTCTCGATAGTAACACTGCAGAAGAATCACATTTCACGGAAAACGTAGCTGTTTCATCATGACGGGGTAGGCTTAATAGATATATATATATTTTTGTAAATTTTTATATAATTCGCCAGACAGTTTTCTAGAAATCCTCAATGGAGGCAGGAGGAAGTCGTTTGAAAAGAAATTTAATATATAGAACGAAAAAAAATAAATACATATATTTGCACCTTGATTGCATCTGTCTGGTTTCTTCTCGTTGGACTTTGTATTTTCAAAATTCTCCCCTGAGGTGAAAAATAACTTGT